TTTAAAAAAAAAAAAAAAACACACCTGAGATCCAGGGAAGTAAGCAGAAGTATTCTGTGAAAAGCCAGAATAGATGTCCTAATGTTCATGCGCTAACTCTCATGCTCTCAGTCTTGATATAGTGTTAACAGATCTGTGATTTATTCCACAAATTGAGGGCTTGCTGTCTAGCAGATTGGGGGTGGGGAAGAAGGGAGGAGAGGCATCTCAACAACTGACAATTGAAAAGACCTAAAATCTATACAAAGAAGTTGAAGTTTTTTGGTAGAGGTGAGGGGTGTGGGTAGTAGGGATGTGGGTAGCATCTATTGCAATGTAGTTTTGGGGCAAATAGTTCTCACTTAGTTTGATACTGAGGATGTCACAGAGTCAAAGCTGGTGCAAGGATTGATGTTCAAAATGACCCTGAGCCATCAAGGAAGGTTGAATTGTGATCACCATGTTCTGTTTAAGATAGGAAAGAGTGAAGTGTATTTTAGAATGATTCTTACAAAAACGGCTAAAATAATACAAGGAGAGCTCTTATGCGGGTAGCTTTAATTATCTCAAGTTCTTAACCTGAATTCCATGGGACTTCAGGGGCCCTGTGAAGCCTCCTAAACCTGAACAGAGACTTTGGTGAATATGTATGCTTTTTTGGGGAGAGGGGCATAGCCTTCATCACATTCTCAAAGGGTTCTATAATTAAAAAAGGTTAAGAATGGCTGAGATATCTGAAAAATTTATGTATTCAGAGAATCCAATGATGCCATCTAAATGTTATGAATTTATAGCTATACTGTGTGTTAAAAATTTATAAATGTATTGTTATACATTTATAACACTGTCCTAAGTTATAAATTTATAATTGCACAGTTATAAATTGATTGGAGCAATAGACCCAAATACCCTTCAGTTACTTCATTATGTATTTTGCAAGTGCTACCTTGTTTTATTTTGTATTATTAATGAGTGTTTTCTTTCCTTTTTGTAGTCATCAGTAGCACTATTTGTGAATAGATTGGACTCAGCAGAATCTGTCCTACCTTATGAATATAATACGTAAGTTATAAGTATTATATCTGATATAATTGCAGTTACATCATAATTATGATATTATTGTGTTAAAGTGTGTTTTAAGCTTTTAAAGATAGTGGATAAAAGCCCTGGATATATTAAGAAATATGGTGGTAATTTTGTAATAAAGGTAACAGGAACAAAATGATTAAAATAGAGAGCTTTCAGTGTGAGGCAAATGCTTAAAAATTTAGGAAGTTGTCATACTTGATTTTTCTAAGAAAAGCAAATTATAAATTTACTATATTTTGAACTTTAAAAAAAATCATCGCAGAGTTGTAGTTTATTTTTAAAACATGGGATAGGGAGGTTTCTATTAAGGTTTTTAATGGATGCCAAGTGCTTAGTTTAGTAGTGAGCTGGTATCACATAATCAAAATTAAGATCAATCATTTTGAGAATAGAGACAAATGATATACTTTTTAGAGAAATGATTGTAGCTCCCTTTGGTATTATTTTATTTCCACTAATTAAACAGAAGTTAAATCAGATCTAATTTTCATTAAAATACCAGGTTTAAATGTAGGGTGTTAGCAGGAGCATTTAAAATATTATGCAAGCCTACCATTGATTTTATCTTCTGCCATTTTATATTCAATTTTATATATTCACATTTACTTAAAGGTAGTTGTAATTCTTTTCATGTAGTAACCATTTGATTTGTGAGTGAATCTGTGGGCATGTATTTGAGGAGGGATTTTGTTGTTTAAGTTCCCCTTTGATCAGAACTGATAACAGCAGTTTCTAAATGTCTCAGGTTAGAATTAGTACAGATTTTAAACTATTCTTTGCTTATTTTATGTAATTTGAAGTTTAACCCTGAAAACACTGTTAGTTTTTTTAAGATTGTGATTACCTCCATTACAAAAGCCAAGAGCAGTACCATGAGCATTTTAAATAATGAATTCATAGTTATAAGAGGTTAAACAATTTAAAAAGAAATCTGTAATGAGGTCTATAAATCGTAATTAGACACCTTCTGGGTCATGTTTTTAGAAGTATCTACCATTAACAGTGGAGAGGCTTGACAAATTACAAAGATGAATTTCTTTGCTGAGAGATATATATATATATATATATTTTTTTACCTTACTTGAACTTCTCCTCTAGCTTTGACTTCTGTCAAGATTCTGGAAAGAAAAACCCTTCTGAAAATCTCGGACAAGTACTATTTGGAGAACGAATAACATCATCTCCCTATGAGGTTATTCAGCGGATCTTATTTAATATTATTTTAAAGTGAATCTTCTCAGAACTGGCTACTTAAAATTGTAGCAAAGAGTCTGTTTTATTTTTTATTTATTTTTTTAAGATTTTATTTATTTATCTGACAGAGAGAGACATAGCGAGAGAGGGAACACAAGCAGGGGGAGTGGGAGAGGGAGAAGCAGGCTTCCTGCCGAGCAAGGAGCCCGATGCGGGGCTCGATGCGGGGCTCGATGGGGGGCTCGATGCGGGGCTTGATGCCAGGACCCTGGGGTTATGACCCGAGCTGAAGGCAGACGCCTAATGACTGAGCACCCAGGTGCCCCAAAGAGTCTGTTTTAAAAGGAGGTAGAGAAAAAAGAAAGGAGATAAGATGTAGTGTTGCTGGAAGAATGCATGAGTATGTGGTCTTTGAACTGTCTGCAGTAGCGAGTGGTTCCACATAAAGATTTTGCCTTTCAAATTTTATTTTTGCTTTGTAAAGAAAAAAAAGTTTACCTTATTGTCCCTGCATATTCCAGGTAGGGTGGTATAAGCAGATGTATTGGACTGTCATTGTCTTACTGATTTTGCCTTCAATATCTTAATAGATAATGGGTATAGAGTAAGGATGTTTTCATAAGCAGTTATGATTATGAAGGCATTAACTTTTTTTCTTCTTTTTTCCAAATTCATTGACATCTACTTGAAGTACAATAAACTGCTCATATTGAAAGTGTATAGTTTGGGGGCGGCTGGCTGGCTCAGTCGGAGGTGCATGCGACTCTTGGTCTCGGGGTTGTGAGTTTGAGCCTCACGTGGGGTATAGAGATTACTTAAATAAAACTTTAAAAAAATATGTAGTTTGCTCAATTTTAATTTATGTATATACTTGTGAAACCATCAGGCATTAACTTCTTTTAAAACTTTTTTTAAAGATTTTTATTCATTTATTTTTTTTAAGATTTTATTCATTTGGGGGAGAGAGAGAGAGCACAAGCAGGGGGAGAGGCAGAGGGAGAGGGAGAAGCAGGCTCTCTACTGAGCAGGGAACCTGATCTGGGACATGATCCCAGGACCCTGGGATTATGACCTGAGCCGAAGGCAGATGCTTAACTGACTAAGCCACCCAGGCACCCCAAAACTTTTATTTTGAAATAATTCTAGACAGGAAACTACAAAAACACCATGAACCAGGAGCTCTCATGTACCCTGTGCCCAGGTTTGCCCAATGATAGCATCTTGCATGACTGCAGTACAATAGCAAAACCCAGGAACTGACACTGGTACAGTGCACAGAGCTTATTCAGATTTCACTAGTTTTACATGCATTCACTTGTGGGTGTGTGAGAGGGGGAGAAAGAATGGGGGGAGAGGCAGAGGGAGAGACTCTTCAGACTTCTTGCTCAGTGCACAGCCTGACCTGGGGCTCAGTCTCCCAACTCTGAGATCATGACCTGAGCTGAAACTAAGAGCCGGATGCTCAACCGACTGAGCCAGCCAGGTGCCCCTGTCTCCTCTTTTACCCATTTTCTATTTGGATTGTTTGTTCCTTTACTATTGAGTTTTCAGAATTCCTTGTATATTCTAGGTGTGATTCCTTTGTTGCACCAGTAGTTTACAAATAGTTTTTTCCCAGTCTGTAGCTTTTGTTTTCATCATCATTTTTTTTTTAAAGATTTTATTTTTAAATAATGTCTATACCTAATTTGGGGCTCAAACTCATGACTCCGAGATCGAGAATAGTGTACTCTACCAACTGAGCCAGCCAGGCACCCCTGTGTTTTCATCTTCTTAACAGAGTCTTTGACAGAGCAAACATAATTTTTATGAGGTCCAATAATCAAATTTCCTTCTTATGGATTGTGTTTTTGGTGTCAAGTTTAAGGACACATGACATAGCCTTTAGATCTTGAAGATTTTCTTTATGTTTTCTTCTGAAACTTTTATAATTACTTTATATATTTAAGTCTGTGATCTCTTTTGGGTTATTTTGTATAAGGTATGAGGTTTGGATTGAAATTACTGGATTTTTTTTTTGTTTTTGCTTTTTGGGTTTTTTTTGGCCTATAGATGTCCAGTTGCTTTAGCATTATCTGTTGAAAAGACTGTCCTTCCTCCACTGAATTGCTTTTGCACCTTTGTCAAAAAAATCACAAGGACATAGTTGTATAGATCTATTTCTGGGTTCTCTATTGATCTATTTCTTTGGTCTGTGTGTCAGGCATTAGCTTTTCAATGATTAAAGTTGCAGAAAATACCTCTGTGGAGTACCATTGTCCTAACAGAAAAGTGACCTTTTTCAAGAAATGCTGTCCCTTGGAATGAAGAACATGACAGTATAAGAAAGAAAGGAAGAAAGGAAAGAAAGAAAGAAAGCAAGCAAGAAAGAAAGGTGACAGTGTTCTCAGCTGCCAATAGGGAACTTTTTGGTTAATATTTGTATGATTTCAGGATATGAGGTGCTAACTATAACTCTTTTTCATAGTCTATTCTTGCTCATTATTTCTTGATAAGTAACACCGGTACTTTATCCTGATAGCTAGACTTTGTTTTTTTTTTTTTTT